GAGGGAGAGAGAGAGAGAGAGAGAGAGAGAGAGAGAGAGAGAGAGAGAAAGAGATGTACTGCGAGACGCGGGACGCCATCAGTCGGTAGACGAGCGACATGGGTCAACCAAGAGAGAGAACTCATGCGATACGCGTCTTGATATGGCACTTTTCGAAACGAACACAGCTGCCGTTGCTATGTGAAGAACGCTGCTACTTGTCACCGTTGCTTCCTCCTTGGCTCCTGTTGCCGCTGCCAAGGCTGCCGCTGCTACTCCCACGACTGCTGGTGCTACTGCTACCGAAATGCCCCTACTTGCTGGTGCTACAGCTACTTTACTGTCGTTGCTGATGCTGCTGCTGCTGCTGCTACTATTTTGTGCTTGGGTCGGACCTTGGGGGAGTTCCTGCAGAGGGTCGCCGTTGTCCAGCCCGTGGTGAGGGCAGAACCCGCGGTAATCCCAAGCGTCAGGATCACCGCAGTCGCAGCACCCACCAGCCTGGTGCGTTCGCGTGCGTGTTTGTGTGTGTGAGAGAAAGGGACATTGCTTGTGCAGTGCAGGGACCACCGCCAATGTCTACATCTCCCAAATCGTTTTCGAGCTCTGATCATGGCAAAATCACATACCCATTGCTATTATTCTGCAAACAGAAATACGGTACACCTCTTGTTTAGAAGGTAACGGTGGATCGATGTTGTGCTCAACCCTTCGCGGGTAAACACTATGTGCTTCTGTTTCGGGCACACTAGAAGAGAGAACGAGACCACCCGCGCTGGTAACGCCGCAGTGTCGTCGAGTGAGCTCACGATCATTGACAAACCGCGCTACTGCCCTCTAAGGAACGCAATCTTCACACACAGACACGGGTCGCAGGCATAGGCATTTCTCCCGCATTGCGGCGCATTGCGGGCACTGCTGGTAAGAATGAAACCTACGAGTAACGACCAATACTCTGTTCAGGAGTTCGCGCCACATCCTGGAGCATGCACAAATGATAGGCGCCACATCCTAAAGGAGCATGCACACATGGGTGCCGGAATAATTGATAGCGATCGGTGATACTCGTGGAGAGTGCTCTAGGTGAACCTCCACAAGGTGAAGCTTGATCGTACACACCACTACAAGCAATCCTTGCTCTCGCCGCGCGTACTGGACAAAACCGACAACCAAAAAGATGGAGCGCAAGCATCAGCGAACGAGGCGGGCAAAAAATGGGAGCAAATGAAGGGGCACACGAGGCAACGGCGCGGGCGGAAACAACGCAAGAATAATGCGCGTCGTACGGGTACCTGCGCGTGATAGAAGTACACCTCGTGACCCTCGTGGTCGCTGCTCCGGAAGCAGTCGTTGCACAACACGCACGTCTCGTCCGCCTGGCAATCCTTGCAGATCCAGACGATGTCATTCTTCAGGAAGGCGTACTGGCACACTCGGCGCGGGGTGTCGGCAGGGAGCAGCTTCTGCTGGACGTCGGAGAGACTCGAGATGGAAATGAGGTTGTTGCTGTGAGAAACATCACCACCGCCACCGCCGCCCTGGATATCGTCTTGCTGTGCCCTACTCGACGCCACCAGTGGATCCTTCGGCGTCGGAGAGGACCTCGACTGATGAGCGCTCTCAAGCTGCTGCAGCCTCAGCTGGTGGTCACCCGGTTGTCGCTGCTGCCGTCCCGCACCCTCCGCCGTCGCAGCCCGATCCGCCGCCACCGCCAGCGCGGGCTGGCACACCTCGTCCGCCGCCAATAGACGGGTCAGTACGGGGAACACTCCGGGCGTCATGTGCACCAAGCTCTGCTGCTGCTCCCCTCCTCCTTCCCCCGCCTGCTGTTGCAGCAACACCGCGCGCAGAATGCTCCCGAACAGCGGCGTCTCGCTCGGACGGTAACAGCTCGTGCTCGCAGGTTGAGGTACCGTTGTCGCTGTTGCTGTTGCAGAGGGACCGCTGCTGCTGCTGTTGCCGCCCTGCCGCGAGGCGTCTCGCAGGGCCAGGAAGGTGAGGTCAACCGAGACCGACGACGTGTCTCCTGGATTATCGTCCGGTTCATCTGCGGGCATCTCCATCCCCCCCTCTCCTCTGTTGTTCCTTCCTCTTCTTCCCAACACCTCGCGCCGCCGTGCGGGATAACGAACAAGGAACTTGGTTGCACCTGCAAGACCCTGGGAATTGGTTTGCTGTTGCCGCTCTGTTATATCCTGCAACCAATTAAAAAGAGAGGATGCTGCCCGAACAGCACCGGGTATGCCGCCCGAAACCTGCAAAGGTTCTGTGCGCGAAGTGTCGCCCGCACGGGATGCCCGCTTGTCTGTGTTGTGTCGTGTGCAACACACGTGATCCTGCCAGCGAGAGAGGCTCCGCGGTATCAACTCACGGGTGCACAAATTGTCGTACGGACCCCCTCCAGTCGACGGTTTGAGCACCGCAAACCCAACACACCGCACCGCACGGCAACAAGACACAGGGCAGCAAGAGGAACAAGAGCACACAACACTTACGACAGCCAGCCCATCTTCGAGTGCTATTGAGCACACCACACTATTCCTGTGGTAAACCGATGAGGGGAAACATGCTGCGTTGCTGCGGCACGGCGATAGCCTTTCTGTTGGCGACATCTGTTGAACATGCTGGCGGACTGTTGTCAACATCGTCGACGGCTTCCTCCTCTGCCTTATCTAGGCACGCGTCGTTCCTCCCCCGGAGCACCTACGCTGCCAGAGGAAGAAGAAGCACCAGGAGGCGCGGGCTTCGACAAGCCGGGAGTGGACGAGGAAGGGGTTGTTCCTCGACAGCAACAACGACGATGGGAATCGCCTACAACCCGAACGACGAGCTGAGGGCGATCGTGCAGAGGAAGCAGCACGAAACCAAGAGCCTCCTGGCTGCCCACACTGCGTCGGACGACCGCTTGCAGGTGCAGTGGTTCTGAGACGGGGGGAGGAGGGGGGTGGCGACTTCATAGCACAGGGAATGATAACAGCAGTGGCAACAAAGATTCCGATGCGTACTGGAAGCCGCCACAGCTCTCGGTAATACAGCAGTACTCTCACTGCAACGTCGCTGTTGGTACTCCTTGTAAGCAGTCATAATGGGTGTATCCTCCCGACAGCAACAACCGAGCCGCGTGTACTACATAGGACGTCTTCCTTTCTAGACGCAGTACAACTGCTGTTTTGTGTGCTGCCTGCCACAAGGGCGAGCTGATGGGCATGATGCTATCAGTGTGTCACCTAGAGCGGGTGCACACTTGTACTCTACGTAGTGCGGTATCCGTGCTACCGGAGCCTGGCATGCAAACCTGGATACCACGTTATCGTAGATCCACCCGGCGCCCACCTACCCTATCACAACCCGGTCAACTGGGCACTCTTCCCCGACCACAATACCCGGTACGACATATCATGCTGTAGATATCAGTCCGCTTTGAGGTCTGTTCGCTTCAACGTCTTTTCTTTCTTGTTTGTTTTCTCCTGCGCTATCTGCAGATGAGGCTGTCTTACGGCGCCAGCGAGAGTTGCTACGCCCTACGCAGCGCCCTCCGCAGGAACAAGGGGCAGGAGCAAGACCACCAGGCGGTGGTCGTGGCGGACATGAAGCGCCGCTCCCCTACGTCTGCGGAGCTCCCACCCGACGTGAACGCCTTCGACGACCCCGCTGCTTGGGCGTCTCAGGTATACATTTCTCGCAGACATCGTGGCATGTGGCGCTGGGACCCCTGCCCCATCCTGCCGGGGATATGGAAAGACCAATAACCAGAAACGGGTTCGATTGTACCCGGGTGGTTTATCACCATTTTGGGTACACTTAAAACTCAACATATAATCACCCCCAGGCAGCCAGGTGATTGGCCGAAACACCATCGAACCCACTTGTGGAGAAACCTCCATCGGATACGACCGGCGCTGGCATCTCGACCCTCTCGTGTAACCGATACTGGATACTGTTGTACCCGGAAGTGGTCGATTTTGTACCGAGGAATGGTCATATAGTTCCGGCGCCCGACGACTCTAGCATCAAACCCGCAGAAAAAAACGTGTACCGCACATACCGTGTACCGCACATACATAGCCACAACCAAAGCACCAACAACGCTCGCTCGTTGATGGGCACCGCCTCCATAGGATACCGGCCCTTCTCGACAGAGGGTCGGACTAGCGTGACCCGCGAGTTCGTTGGTTGTGGTGCTGATCAGTAAAAGGACACAGCGAGAGGCACAGAGAGACAAAACGGGCACAACCTGCCTCATGCATCACGTTTCCGAGGCACAGGACACAGCGGTTAATTGACTCCGCCGCGATCTACGGCGGAGGCTGTCGGAGATTGGTGTCGTGTTGATTTCCCAAGTGTACCCTGAACTGGTTACAATCCACCCGGGTATTCCCTTTTCTGTTTACTTCTCATATGGAAATAGATAACGGTGGGACCCCTCCGCCCGTACATGTACACCCAGCATGATGGAGTAGTTCATTCCGCAGCACGTGCGATATCTGTGCGCAAGCAGAACAAGAATGTTCAGTCGGTGTACTTCTACAGGCCAGTACTTCAGAAGACACGTTCCACTCGGACTTGAGAAGGCTCTTTTCGTAAACGAAATACGCGCACACACGCAATGGATGGTGCATCGTTCCGAGAATCGAAAGCGAGGCGTCCAATCCCTCATCCCTCGGCATGCGAGACACTCCACTTGCGGTTGGTGGGCGTGTTATACTACGTTTTTCCATGTTATGACCTGTTTTTTGACCACGAAGTGCATGGGAACGCGGTAGCACACCCGACATCAGTTGGACCCTTGCTTCGTACTAGTGTTCTCATGGCAAGCCTCCCCTTCCGGCACGCCGGTGATGCTCTCTCCCGGATTTATCCCCTCGGACATATCGCCGCTTCGTGGTTACCCCTGTACTCTTATGAAAATTCTCCCGCCTCTTGCCCCCTCCAACCCCCAAACGTGTGCGCATGTGTGCGCGTGTTTTTCTGCTTTGAACCCGCCCCTTCGCAACCAATCTGCCTTGGTTGGGGGGGGGGGGACCAAACGGTTATTGGCACCCGGCGCCCGAATGCTTCCTCCGTGACGCGACACGACGTGGGGGGATCGATCACCCCAACATATCGATGAAAAATCGCATCGAATGCAACGATCGGGTCTTCTCTCCAGCTGCACACGGCCGGCGCCAGTGTGCTGATGGTGAACACGGACGGGCCAGCGTGGGGCGGCAGCCTCTCCGATCTCGACAAGGTCGTGGTGAGTCCGCGCCTGTCCATACGATGAACGAACGCACAGGGAGAATCTAGCGGTGAGGCGGCGTCACATAAAAGGAGTGCGTGACTTTTTTTCTTGCAATTTGTGTGGAAACGAGTTGAGTGTGTGCGTGCGTGTGTAGCTCTCGACAAAACGGATAATGTTCTCTCGTCTAAGCGTTTGAGTGATATCGAACACACGTAGTATAGTACGAGGCGATGCTCTGTCCCTCTCAATGTTGATGTGCAATCAGTGACCTCACGTGATGTGGTTGGTACAGCACAGCAAGTATCGATTTTGCACGCACATCCATGCACCCACGCCCTTCAAACCCACACCTACCTTGCTCTCCTTCCCTCCAGCTGCCGCGCCTGGACCTCCGTCAATGGGGCGATCGGCACCCCACCTACGCGTGCTTACTCGCTGCCGGCCCCTCACCCCGTCGACGACACAGGCGCATTTCAAGAAGCTCGGAAAGACGCCCCCGCCTATCGTAGCGAAGGACGTTATCGTGCACCCGATGCAGATGGCGCAGGCGCTGGAGAAAGGGGCCGCGGGAACGGTGCTCATCGCTTGTGTGGTGAGAAAGACCAGGCAGCAGGGATGAAAAGAGAGAGAGGGTGAGAGAGAGAGAGAGAGAGAGAGAGATAGAGAGAGAGAGA